AGTTTAGCAACACTTTTTCAGATACATCTATGTTGATGAATTCAACTATAGGTTATTCATTTTCACTGCTGCATAGTATTCTGTTGTATTATTTTTAACACAATTCATTGTTCTGCTCATGAGCTTTTGGGTAGTTTCTAGGTTTTTAATGTAAAGAATAATTTAACTATAAATACTAGCATACATATCATTAGCATATATAAGTAATGGAATTTTTGTTTTGTTTTGTTTTGTTTTTGAGACGGAGTATCGCTCTGGCTGGAGTGCAGTGGCACGATCTCGGCTCACTGCAAGTTCCACCTCCTGGGTTCACACCATTCTCCTGCCTCAGCCTCCTGAGTAGCTGGGACTACAGGCACCCGCCACCAGACCAGCCTAATTTTTTTTTGTATTTTTAGTAGAGATGGGGTTTCACTGTGCTAGCCAGGATGGTCTTGATCTCCTGACCTTGTGATCCGCCTGCCTCAACCTCCCAAAGTGCTGGGATTACAGGCGTGAGCCACCATACCCGGCCTTAAGTAATGGAATTGTTGATATGTAATAGAGAATTTTTAATGTACCTTGCTTCTTAAAATTCAAAGGACTATATGAAATCTGAACATTCTGTCTATACCTGCCAAAAAAACCCATAAACAATTATGCTTAAAAGTATCACAACAGTATTTGTATTGTGTTTAAAGTATATCCTTTTTTTTTTTTTTTTGACACGGAGTCTTGCTCTGTTGCCCAGGCCTCCCAAAGTGCTGGGATTACAGGTGTGAGCCACTGTGCCTGGCCTATCCATTGATTTTTAAATATATATTTTAAATTGGGGCGTTTGTTTTTTGTTTTGTTTTTAGACAGTTTCTTGCTGTCACCCATGTTGGAGTTCAGTGGCTCAGTAATAGCTCACTGCAGCCTCAGACTCCAGAGCTCAATGATCCTCCTGCCTCAGCCTCCCAAAAAACTGAGACTATAGGTGTATGCCATCACTCTCAGCTAACCTTTTGTATTTTTGTAGAGACCAGGGTCTTACCATGTTGCCCAGTTGGTATCAAACTCCTAGCCTCAAGCGATCCTCCCACCTCAGCCTCCCAACATGCTGAGCCTCCCAACATGCTGAGTCACCACGCCTGGCTGGAGTTATTTAATAACGGTATAAATGTCCAGAAACTATAGAAATGGGAAACGTCACCTATCATTTACAAATACTTGTCTTATACATACATGTTTTAGGCAAGAATGTAATCATAGTACTTAGATTTTTTTCCTGCTATTGCAGCATCATGCACATTTTACTGTATATATCAGGCATCACAGCTTTTTTATTTATCTAATTTTTTTTTTTTTTTTAGCCTCCCAACATGCTGGAGCCTCCCAAACATGCTGAGTCAAATACCACGCCCTGGCTGGAGTTATTTAATAACGTATAAAATGTCCAAACTATAGAAATGGGAAACGGCCACCTTATCATTTTCATAAATACTTGTCTTATACATACATGTTTTAGGTAAGAATGTAACTATAGTACTTAGATTTTTTTCCTGCTATTGCAGCATCATGCACATTTTACTGTATATATCAGGCATCACAGCTTTTTTATTTATCTAATTTTTTTTTTTTTGAGATGGAGTCTCATTCTGTTGCCCCAGCCTGGAGTGCAGTGGCATGATCTGGGCTCACTGCAGCCTCCACCTCCTGGGTTCAAGCATTACTTAGCTAATGTGTGTGTGTGGTTTTTTTTTTTGAGATGGAATCTTGCTCTGTTGCCCAGGCTGGAGTGCAGTGGCACACCTTGCTCACCACAGCCTCCACCTCTTGGGTTCAAGTAATTCTTCCTGCCTCGTCCTCCTGCATAGCTGGAACTACAGGCGCGCACCACCATGCCTGGCTAATTTTTGTATTTTTAGTAAAGATGGGGCTTCACGATGTTGGCCAGGCTGGTCTCAAACTCTTGACCTCATGATCTGCCCGCCTCGGCCTCCCAAAGTGCTGGGATTACAGGTGTGAGCCACAGCACCAGGCCTATTTATCTAAATTTTAATAGCTGCATATACTTCCATCAGGTAGATAGGAAATAATTTACTTAATTATTTTTTGTTGAAAATTGAGATTTTTTCCATTGTTGCATTGTAAGTAATACTGTGATGAACTTATGTGGAACTATGACTCTTTCTAGGGATAGCCAAGGGAAAGCATCACAGTAGCAATCTGGAAACAACTGCATAACCTTTTTTTTTTTTTTTTTGAGATGGAGTCTCACTCTGTCGCCCAGGCTGCAGTGCAGTGGCCGGATCTCGGCTCACTGCAAGCTCGGCCTTCCAGGTTTACGCCATTCTCCTGCCTCAGCCTCCCGAGTAGCTGGGACTACAGGCACCCGCCACCTTGCCCGGCTAGTGTTTTGTATTTTTTAGTAGAGACGGGGTTTCTCCGTGTTAGCCAGGATGGTCTCGATCTCCTGACCTCGTGATCCGCCTGTCTCGGCCTCCCAAAGTGCTGGGATTACAGGCTTGAGCCACTGCGCCCGGCCTTTTTGTTCTAATAGAAGAATTAAAACATATTGACTACCTGATTGATATTAGGCACTATGGTATGTGCTTCATTGTTTTAATGTTTTTAATGTGCTTAAATGTTTTCTCATTTAATCTTTAAATAATTGAGTGAAATGAGTAATATACCCATCATTATACTTACCCAATTGTATTATAATAATCTGTTTGTATTTGTCTTCTAAGAATTATGGTATTTTATTTTTAAATCCTCAGAGTCTATTTTAGTTCCTGGCACATAGTGAGGCTCAGTAGATGTTATCTATTCAGATGGATGTTTAAAAGCTTTGCCTTGAGGCAGTTTTGGCCTTATAAAATTCTCTTCTTTGCTACCTTTGTTTCCTGAGCTATAGTTTATAGATCTCTGAGGACAGGGATTGGTAACCAATAAACTCATTCCAGATGTGCCCAGAAAAGTAGTATTTAGACTACATCTCTGACTTCAACTTTGGCGTGTCTGTTTTTGTCATTTATCTCTGCTGAAAATGTGTCAAGAGGAAATTCTACTTGGATTTTTATTAATTGATACTTTACCTACCATTGAGATTAATGTTTATTTGAAATTTATGTTATTTATTCATTTGCAACTGAGCTATTTTTGCTAGTTGTTTGGAATATTCTCAGAGAGGTACATTGGAACCATTGAAGCTCTTTTAAGGGAAGGAAGAACTATTCTTAATATCCTACAAAACTGGAGAATGCCTAAATGCCCACAAAGCATTCCTGAGTTTATTCATTATCCCTCCTCTCTGAATTTCTGTAGCTAGCACTTACCCTTTCATTTGTTTCTAACTAGTTTGCTTTTGCCTTTATATTTTGCCATAAACATATTACTATGTACCATATATTATAAAATGTTCTTTATCTTTTTTTTCAAAATAGTATATAATGTTATAAATTGGAAAACTCTTACTGTCACGTATGTGGAGTATACTTAGAGTGGCAATTTTAAAATGTAAAGGTAGTGGATTGTTTAAAACACACATTTTTTTTTTAATACACAGGCTGAAACAAGTGTAAAATCTTTGAATACCCTGTAGTGAGACCAACTCCTTGACTAGAAAATAAGAGAAGTTTACTTTAAAATTTTTATCCTCTGCTGCTGCATTAGTGGACCAGGAGAAATAAACAGCAGTGAGCCTTGTGAGGAGCATCCATAACCCCTGGCTTACTTGGGTGGTTCTGGCCTACCAGAAATGAATAAGAATTATTTCAAAGGAATTTAATTGAATAAGGTATTTTAAATTTTTTACAAGCAAGTGTTAGTTCACACTGAAGTCATAGTGCATTATTAGTTTTTCTAAATGTGCCCCATAGCTACTGCTTTAACTATGGAATATCTTATTTTGAAAGCTCATATTTTTTATATTTGTGAAAGATACATATCTACGGCACACTGTGAAAACACCTTTCTGGTATTTTACAATTCAATAGAATGACTTGATTTTTAGTTCAACACACTGTGTAACAAGTTAGGTATACCTCACTTTGCCTTGATAACTGTTTTGGCAAAGTTCATAATTTGAATTTTAGTAATAAAAGTATATTCTTTTATTTGTTTACATTGTGTTTTCCTTATAGCTCAGCTGTTTGTTTCAATCCCCATTCTTTTTTTTTTTTTTTTTTTTTGAGACAGAGTCTCACTCTGTCGCCCAGGCTGAAGTGCAGTGATTTGATCTCGGCCCACTTCCACCTTTGCCTCCCAAGTTCGAGCGATTCTCCTGCCTTAGCCTGCTGAGTAGCTGGGACTATAGGCTCATGCCACCACACCCGGGTATTTTTTTTTTTTTTTTTGTATTAGTAGTAGAGACGGGTTTCACCATTTTGGCCAGGCTGGTCTTGAACTCCTGACCTCAGGTGATCCACCCGTCTGCCTCCCAAAGTGCTGGGATTACATGCATAAGCCACTGTACCTGGCCTCAAGCCCTTTTTTTTTTTTTTTTTTAAGATGGAGTTTCACTCTTGTTGTTCAGGCTGGAGTGCAGTGCCGTGATCTCTGCTCACTGCAACCTCTGCCTGCCAGGTTCAAGCGATTCTCCTGCCTCAGCCTCCCGAGTAGCTGGGATTACAGGCGCCTGCTGCCACGCCCAGCTATTTTTTTGTATTCTCAGTAGAGATGGGGTTTCACCATGTTGACCAGGCTGGTCTGAAACTCCTGACTTCAGGTGATCCATCCGCCTTAGCCTCCCAAAGTGCTGGGTTTACAGGTGTGAGCCACTGCACGACCTCAAGCCCCGTTCTTAACTTTGCTAATAGGATGATTTTTTAAAAAAGATCTCTGGGGAAAACTACTTCAGGGTCTATGGTGATTGTTCTTTTTTGTAATACAATAAATTTGATTGAATTTTGTTTTGAAAGCTGTTATCTGTTAATTGTTATTTAAAATTCACTATTTTAACTATAATTGTCTTGACTACACTTTTGTTAATACCTTAAGATTTTAATATGTTAAATATCTTTTCCCCTTTTTAGGAATGGCTGATGGCAAGCATTGTACTTTTCCACATCTGCCTGGCAAAACCTTTGTCTATAATGCTTCTGAAGATAGACTGGAATTGTGTGTGGATGCTGCAGGACATTTCCCCATTGGTCCTGATGTTGAAGATTTAGTTAAAGAGGCTGTAAGTCAGGTTCGAGCAGAGGCTACTACAAGAAGTAGGGAATCAAGTCCCTCACATGGGCTATTAAAACTAGGTAGTGGTGGAGTAGTAAAAAAGAAATCTGAGCAACTTCATAACGTAACTGCCTTTCAGGGAAAAGGGCATTCTTTAGGAACTGCATCTGGTAACCCACACCTTGATCCAAGAGCTAGGGAAACTTCAGTTGTAAGAAAGCATAACACAGGGACAGACTTTAGTAATAGTTCCACTAAAACAGAGCCTTCTGTATTCACAGCTTCTTCTAGTAATAGTGAGCTTATTCGAATAGCTCCTGGAGTAGTAACAATGAGAGACGGCAGGCAGCTTGATCCTGATTTGGTTGAGGCCCAGCGAAAAAAATTGCAGGAAATGGTTTCTTCTATTCAGGCTTCAATGGACAGGCACTTGCGGGATCAAAGTACAGAGCAGTCACCATCTGATCTTCCTCAAAGGAAAATAGAAGTTGTGAGTTCTTCTGCAAAGTCTGGGAGTCTTCAGACTGGCTTGCCTGAATCTTTTCCTTTAACTGGTGGTACTGAAAATTTGAATACAGAAACAACTGATGGCTGTGTAGCAGATGCACTGGGAGCAGCCTTTGCCACAAGGTCAAAAGCACAAAGGGGAAATTCCGTGGAGGAGCTTGAAGAGATGGATAGTCAAGATGCTGAGATGACTAACACAACTGAGCCAATGGATCACTCTTGATTTAATTAGAGGCTAATAAAGGCAGAATGTTTATTGTGAATATGTAATATTTGTTGGCTGGGCCACGTAACTTGATTAGTCATTAAAAATCTTGTACGTATGTAATTCAAAGATTATATCTTGTTATTCAGTGCATGATAGCAAGTGTGTGATTGGCCATAGCTTTTAATATACTGCTGCCCAGGCTGGCTCTGAATTTCTATAAATTAGCTATTAGATCTGCTGAGATGACTTTCTTCCATGTATGTGGTTCATTGGAAGTTCTTTGTAATTTTAATTCCACGAAAGCGTTAATGTTTCCAACAAGAAAATTGTCTTACTAAATACGTTTGATTTCTGAAAAGGCTAAAAATGGAGGGGAAATGAGATTTTGCTAATGTTGATGTCATCAAGGTAACCATCTCACATACTAGTGTCAAAAGGTTTATGTAAACTTGAATTTTATCTGGACTAAATTGTATCTTAAAATTCATACAATTATTTATTAGACAGTGGGATGCAAGTGTTTCCATGAACGTAAACACATTCATAGAGATTTCTTGGCAAAAATGTCTTGAGAATAGAATGTAATGATATAACATTTTGCTGATTTGTGCAAGGTGGGGGAAAAATCTATTCTAGATTGATGAGGTCAATGTGATTCAGTTGTGTTGCTGTCTGAGCCAACACAGCCAATTGTGTGTGTGCGTTATTAATATGTTACCATTATTTTTGATTCCTGGCTTGGTCAAGAACCACCTGATTTTTTTTTTTTTAATCTTGCAGAAAAGTTGATTGCAAAGTGTGGTAGAAAAAGAAATAATGGTAGCAGTAGAGAATTTATAAATAAGAGTTTATCTTTATGAATGAGTTAATTGTTCTACAATTTTGATCAGTGGTATTTAAGCCTGTATATGCTAAGTGTATTTACACCCCTTTGAGCCAAAATGTTTTCTTTTTTTTTTTTTTCTTAGAATCTATAAGTTTCTGTATTTGTTGGCTTCACTTGGGTTTAGATGCAAATTTTACTGCATCACACCCTGATCAGCTGGGTGTTTGCTTAGTGTATTCATCAAATCTTTAGTGCCAGTTTCCTTGAGAAGCAGCTTTCATGCTTATTCCTTAAAAACAACAAAAGAGTGTTTATCCTGAGATTGGTATTGCACTATTTTATTTTATTCTGCAAATCTGTATTCTGAAATGTACATTTCAACCCATATTTTTCCTCTGTTCACTGAAATTAAGTTGAATTTGAATGGCTGAAAGACAAAATGTATGTTAATACAATCTCTTACCTAGAGCATTCAAAGCCTGGCTGTCTCTGTTTGCACATGTAACAGATGCAGAACTGTGTTTGTAATTCTAAGACAATGTATGTCAGAAAGTATTTTATCAGATGTTTAAAAATCTCTGCCTGTTGATTCATAAGGGATATAGACAGTACTTTAACTTGTGTTTCCAGATAAGGCAGATTTTGGTCATCTTTCTGTGAAAGTATCTCTAACTGAACCCACTTCTTAAACAAACTATTTTAAATAAGGAAAGAATGGAGAATCTAGACATTTTACAGGTGTATCTGAACAAAATATATATTTGGGTTAGTTTTTGTCACATTATCACATTTGTCTATATTTTATTTTCATCCTAAATTTTCTTTCAAGCATCTTCTCCCTATCAAAACAGCAGGAAATTTTTAAACTTTTATATTGTACACTATTTTTGCATAAAATAAGAGCTGTAGCTACCAAATACTATTTACTACTTAGTAAAGGTGGCTTTTGTAAGCCACCTTTATTTGTAACTACAAATTACAAATATCACTTCACTAACCACTATAATTATTTTTGGCTTTTTCAGCCACTGGAACTTTTTTGGGGGGGATTTAAATACAGGAAAACTGTTTAATCAAAAAATGCACTGCTTTCATGTAAAATGATATAATCATCTTTAACAAATATTTTCTTCATTGATAACTGACAGATCTCTCATAGCATTAACATAAAATATCAGAAACAAACTTTATCTCTCCCTATTCTTTCTTTTAGTGCAAATTAGAATGCGTATGTGAATGTTAGAAGATGGACTTAATCTCTGACAACTTTATTTCTCTAGCTACAGCACTGCTATTTAAAAGCCAGTTAGGTATGAATAGTACAATAACAGTTTGGGTTCTCCCTTGATAAATGAATAAAAGGCTCAATTCTGATAAGTGATCAAATTTCTTGAAATTATTTCAAATCAGCTGAAAATTTGGTGGGGGTGATTGATGGTTTTTGAGAAGTAGGCCAGGTATCCTCACAAAGAAGTTTTAGAATAGGGTTTCTTTAAGTTTTTAAATATCATCCTTTGTCTTTCCATATGGTTTTCATAACCAAATACATTACTGTAGAATGGTTATTTTTCTAGTACTGCCATTTGTGATATAGCCACATCTTGGAGTGCAAGCTAGACATCTCAGGTAAAAAAAATTTTTTTAGCCCTAGATGTAAGATTATAACTAAAATGCATTCCTGCAATTCTGTTTGCAGTGCTTCACTAAACACTGAAATAAAGTTGTAAATTTTTTCTTCAATAATCCATTCTATAGTTAATCATACCAAATTTAAGTTGATGACCTAAAGTCCAGGTAGTGTTGAAGATAGTATATATCTAGAATACTGGTAGTGAGAAATTGGTGTAAGTTGAAGAAAACAAGATGCTGCCATATATTAAAATAGAATATGATTAACTCCATGAGAATGGTTACTCAGGAACTAGTTAAAGAGCAAACCCATTTCTCCCGCTTCACTCTGTTTCAGATATTTTATTGGAAAATGTTAGGGTAGAGGCCTGAGAAAGTTAGCAAATACTAACTTTTTTTGACTGATACTGGCTCTGTGTCTTCCAGTGATTTTTAGTTTGGTTTTTACAGTCAAGCCTACTGCTTGCAATTAAGATATCAATCTGAAATGCATCCATAATTCCTGGCCACAGGTCCTTATTGCCATTATTTTTAAGTATCTTCATTGGAGATGAACACTGACTTTTGCATATGGTCTCTTACCTCAGGGAAGATCACTTGCTAGCAACTCATACTACTAATGACAGGTTTTTGAGAATTGTACTGACATCACATGTTAGCTACTAAATGCAAAATGTATAAAAGTATTGTTTTATGTAGTTACCTACCAATACTATCTGCTACTGAATAACTCTCTAAATATGTAGACCTCACTAATAACCTTTAGGTAAAAAATTTACTTCTGTCATTAATTACACTTCAACTGGTCAATATAGTGACAGCATAAAGTGTTTATTTCAGAATATCAATACAGTTTTGTCTTCATTTTTCAATAGTAATTTCAATTGGTCCATACTTAAAATACTGCAGCACAGATTTTGAGTTTTATGGTTCTCAAAGCAAGGTTTCCATCTTAAGCTTTTTATAAAAACAAAGCCTTTGCAAAATTGGATTAAATTCCACTTAATGTGAATTAAAAATGACCATTTATAATAATAATAGTGAGCGCCATATTCTAAGTCGAGTAAATGTATCCTACCATTCAAGGTTATCATATAATTTAACAAAATTGTACAATCTTAAGGCTCTTCACAGTATAAATTAATTTTTCAAACCAGAGCTGTTCACATGAAAATATTGCTTAGTAGAATGTATATTTAAGAAATAAAATAACAGGGGAACTATATCACCAATGTAAGTTATAGAGTTAATTACAAATTCTACCATTCTTGATAATTCTTTGAGATGCTAAGTGTTTCAGTTAATATTTAATGATACCTAAATCGTGGGAATTTTAATGTTTGTTCCAAAATAGCAGAAATTGTAAAAATTGTGAATTACTGGAGAAAATGCCATTACTTGTATATCTGACATTTAATTTTTTAATTATGGAGACTACATGCTTTTGTAGTATAATATTAATGATTATTCTCTTGTAAAAGAAAAGGAAAAATTAGTAAAGAAAAAAGTTTTAGTTGATGTTACCTGCTTGTGAGTATCAATTACTTAGTTTTTAAAAGTTTAAGGTGTTGCATACTTTTCTTTAGAATGCAGAAATCTCGTCCTGAGCCCTTATGCCTGTGGTAGAGCAATAAAATAATGAAAAGGTTATCAGTATTTCCAGGCTTATTTGACTTAAGAATTAGTGCCAAGAACTGGAAAGTCTACTTTTTGGAGGGAAACGATACTTAGAATTTGTAAACTAAGCAGTAATAGTGTAAATATTTAGAAAAATAGCAAGTGCTTTAACTGCTCAATAAAATAGTATAGATGTTATGTCACCCTTAAGGCACTGGCTGTTGCCCATTATTTTCTGATTTCGTGATTGCTGTATATATTACATTTGAGTAATGAATAATTGGTAATAGTGTATTATAGTGTTCTACAACATACCTTACTGTACAGTATTTGAAGTTTTCTTTTATATCAGTAATAAAACTATAAGTTAATACTGATTTTCCCCCGAAATTCTCCACATTAGTTTTTAAAGGTAATTTTATATTCCTTAGTTTCCTGGAATTACAATGCATGAACATATAATTCAGTTTTATAAAGAAATTCTTAAAGTTTTCTTGTTGAACTTAAGTGAGTTATCATACAGGAATAGTAATTTTTCCCCTTAATGTAGATTTCATTGCTAGATGAAATGGACCCAGTGAAAAAAGAGTGCACAATTTTTTTTTTTTTTAAAACAGGTCTCACTCCACCACCCAGGCTGGATTGCTGTGGCACGATCAGGGCTCACTGCAGCCTCAACCTCCTGGGCTCAAGTGATCCTCCCACCTCAGCCTCCTGAATAGCTGGGACTACAGGCATGTGCCACCACACCTGGCTAATTTTTGTATTTTTTGTAGAGACAGGGTTTTGCCATGTTGCCCAGGCCAGTCTTGAACTCCTGAGCTCAAATGATCTGCCCTCCTCTGCCTCCCTAAGTGCTGGGATTACAGGCGTGAGCCACTGCACCCAGCCAGCAAAATTTCTTTAGACATATTACATAATTGGGCCATAATGCTTACTGAATATTCAGAAATAAAGGCAAATTCTAATAGAGAACTTGATTTTGTGGTGGTTTAAAAAAAATACTGGTTAGTGATAAATGAAAGGAATTACAGATAATGGTACTAAATAACATTTGTGTAGCTTAGCAGTCAACACATACTTACTTTTAATGTTTACTGTATATGCGTAATATACATTTTATTAGATCATTTAACTCAGTAATTTAGAGTCTAGCCTTAGACACCAGACTTTCTAGGTCTGAGTCGTGGTACGCTGCTTTCTGTGACCTCTCTGTGCATTCCTCTGTGAGAGGATGATAATCACATCTGCTCCTAGGGTGGCTGTATTAAATGAGTTAACACGTGTCTGATGATTAGAAGAGTGCCTGACACATAGTAAATATTCGCTATTGTTATATGTTAATGTAATATGGTAGAGTTCAGTTGCCATTAAGTGGGATAAATCTTCACAGGGCACACATTATTTAAGTAATTTGTTACATTAAAACTTATTTTACTTGTACATAATTGACTAAAAAATGGATGGTTGTACATTCAAACATTTATGCAAGGGCTTTATGACCATGTGCAGCACTGAGAATCTCATGAACTGACAGTGTGCTCTGTGACCCAAGGCAAGTCTTGGAGCCTTTCAAGGCCTCCATTTCTTCTGTAACCTTGTGTTTTCACAATTGTTAACCTTTTGTTCTGCCTACCATTGTCGTCATAGTCTCACTTGCAGAGGGCATAGTGCTGATGGGACAAGTGACATGGGTATGAGCCCCATGTAAACTAAACATAATTACCTTTCCTTTAGGTGTTGACTACAGTTATCCCAAACTTGGACTTGAGGTCTTGTATATGCATGCCATTGGTCACATACCATCAGAATAGAATTCTCAAAAACTCTTTAGTAAGATAAACATCCTACTTATAACAGCTCATTATGGATTTTATTTTTATTGTCTGGCTCTTTCAGACCCCAGTAACTGCAATTCTGACTTAATAATCGATTGTTTCTAATCATTAAAAATGTATATAGAAAAACTGAAATAAGTCTTTAATTGATTTTCTGAACTGTATATGATACACTGAGGTGAAAAACATATGGGCTCTTCAAATTTGCACACTCCTTAGAAGTAAACCTGTCTTTGGCCCATTTGTCATACCACATAAATTATTTGAAAAACAGATACATTATGTAGGAATCGGGGGGGATTATCCCTGTTTGTTCTATTTATAGAAACAGGTATAGTCCGAAGTCTACCTATAAAATGATTACATTTTTATATTTGATTCATGGAATCAGTATTTTATTTTTTATTTTCTGTTCTTTTTTGAGACTGAGTCTCGCTCTGCTGCCCAGGCTGGAGTGCAGTGGCACCATCTTAGCTCACTGCAACCTCTGCCTCCCAGGTTCAAGCAATTCTGCCTCAGCCTCCCGAGTAGCTGGGATTACAGGCGCCCGCCACCATGCCTGGCTAATTTTTGTATTTTTAGTAGAAACGGGGTCTCTACTAAATAGAGGGGTCATTCATTATTTTAAACAAGTACTGATCAAATGCCTGTTTTAAAAACCTGGGAAACAGTTCCAAATGAGACAAATTCCATGTGTCCTTAGAGCTTACATCCCAAAGATGGAGATGATCACAAAACACATTGGTAATAGCTAACGTTTAGTGACTCTTTTCCTTATATCTGGGCAATAGGCTGAACACTACATGCAATAATTAAATTAACCGTCAAAACCCTTCGTGGTTGGGTACTATCATTATCATCTTTTAGGAAACAAGTTGATTAGTTGGTTTACCTGAAGTCCTGGAGTTAGGTGGCAGAGCTAAGATTTAAATCCAGATGTTTAAGACTCCAGGGTCTATGCTCTTAACTTTAATGCTACATTTGTAATTTAGCAAAGGAATAAAATTTGGTGGTCACATAAGTCTTTACATTTATTGTTCAATCTAGCTTGTTTTCAGATACACCAACATGGTTTTAATTGATTTCAGTGTATAGAGTATCTGGCTTTTTTTTATTTTTTATTTTTTTAAAAGATGGTCTCACTCTGCTGTGCAGGCTGGAGTGCCCAGTGGTGCCATCATAGCTCACTGCAATCTCAAACTCCTGGGCTCAAGTGATCCTGCTGTCTCAGCCTTCCAAATAGCTGGGACTACAGATGTGTGTCACCTCACCTGGCTAATTTATTTTTTGTAGAGAAAGGGTTCCCCTATGTTGCTCAGGTTAGTCTCAAATCCCAGAAGTGCTGGGATTACAGGCATGAGCAACAGCTTTAATTTCACTTCCTACTAGTTCCCTTCCTGGACCCTAGTCCTCTATCCCAAGTTCTTCCTTCCTTGAATTTGTTTTCTTGCCTCCTGTAAATTTGGAGGTGCTTTAAGGAAGAGTTTCAGAATTTCTTACATGACTAACCTGGGTACATTTGAGAATCACTGGTTAAAGTCCAGTTTTTCAAGGACCTAAAATAATTCTTGTTTACTAAGTGTGTCTGCTGCTTTGGAGGGGAGGTTTCCCAAAGGTGATGTTTCTCAAAAAATAGTTCATGGGCTATATGCATCTCACCTAGAAAATTTATTTCTATGGAATCATGTGTCAGGTACTTTGCTAAACATAAGGAATGATAAACTGAAAAAGACACTTCCTGCCTTCATTACACTTACATTTTTAGTGAGAGAGAGAGATACATTTAAACAAGCAAGTAACTGTACATACTGGGGGAGCATTGGGTGGTGTGGGATTATGCTGCAAGAGGAATTAACCTGACCTGTGAAATGGTTAGGGAATGCTTCCTGAGAGGTGATGTACCATCTGAGACCTAAATAATTGATAGGATACTTAAAAATCAAATTGGCCAGCCAGGCGCAGTGGCTCATGTCTGTAATCCCAGCACTTTGGGAGGCCAAGGCCAGCAGATCGCGAGGTCAGCAGATCGCGAGGTCAGGAGACCAGCCTGGTCAACTTAGTGAAACTCAGTCTCTACTAAAAATACAAAAATTAGCCAGGCATGGTGGCATGCATCTGTACTCCCAGCTACTCTAGAGACTAAGACAGGAGAATTGCTTGAACCCGGAAGGCGGAAGTTGTGGTGAGCCAAGATGGCGCCACTGCACTCTGGTCTTGGCAATAAAGCAAGACTCCGTCTCAAAAAAAAAAAAATCAAACTGGCCAGGGATGGAAGATCATGCCCAGTGCATGGGGAGGCAGAGATGGGAGGATTGCTTGAGGCCAGGAATTCAAGACCAGCCTGGGCAACATAGCGAGACCCCAACACTATTGAAAAAAAATTAGCTGGGTGTGGTGGTGCATGCCTGTAGTCCCAGCTACTCAGGAGGCTGGGGAAGTTTATAAGTGAGCTATGATTGTGTCACGGCACTCAGCCTGGGCAACAGAGTGAGTCCCTGTTTCTTAAAAATAAATTGGAAAGACTCAGTATCTCCAAAAATATTTTACTAACTAGGTCAGTCTATCAAACAAAATTAAATAGGATGCTTATGTTTGCCATACTTTAGACTCCAGATCTTTCCTATAAGGGGGCAGTGAGCCAGCTGAATAGAAAAGGATGAGGAACTTTGAGAAAACTGTTGAAAATAGGGTTGCTAGAGAAAAAGAAAAACCTTTAGCAAGGAATGAGATTCTGCACTGAGTATACAAAAGTAACATACATAAGCTTCTTCTTTGAAATGAAAAGGTGTCTTTGTAATATGACCAATGTAAATTAGATACATAGATGAATAACACAAATGTAAGCAAAATAGTGAAGCCAGAATCAAATTAGGGATTAGAAGCCCTCAGTTATTCTGATTTCTTTCAACATTAGCAGGACTATAGAAAGATTAGTTTCTTTATTTTATTTTATTTTTTTTGAGGCTGAGTCTTGCCCTATCACCCAGGTCAGGGTGCAGTGGTGCAATCTCGGCTCACCGCAACCTCTGCCTCCCGGGTTCAAGTGATTCTCGTGCCTCAGCCTCCCAGGTAGCTGGGACTACAGGTACATGCCACCATGCCCAGTTAATTTTTGTATTTTTAGTGGAGACAGGGTTTCACCATGTTGCCCAGGCTGGTCTCGAACTCATGACCTCAAGTGATCCACCCACCTCGGCCTTCCAAAGTACTGGATTACAGGCATGATCCACAGCACCCAGCCTTTTTCTTTCTTTTTTTTTAGACGGAGTCTCGCTCTGTCTCCCAGGCTGGAGTGCGGTGGCGCGATCTCTGCTCACTGCAAGCTCCACCTCCCGGGTTCACGCCATTCTCCTGCCTCAGCCTCCCGAGTAATTGGGTCTACAGGCGCCCGACACCAGGCCTGGCTAATTTTTTGTATTTTTTAGTAGAGACGGGGTTTCACCGTGTTAGCCAGGATGGTCTCGATCTCCAGACCTCCTGATCCGCTCGCCTCGGCCTCCCAAAGTGCTGGGATTACAGGCGTGAGCCACTGCGCCCGGCATTTTAATTTTTTTTGGACGGAGTCTCACTCTGTTGCCCAGGCTGGAGTGCTGCGGATGATCTTTGTTCATGGGTTCAAGCGATTCTTGTGCCTCATCCTCTCAAGAAGCTGGGACTACAGTCGTACACCACCACTCTTGGCTAATTTTTGTATTTTTTGTAGAGATGGGGTCTCTCCATGTTGCCCAGGCTGGTCTCGAACTCCTGAACTCAAGCAATCCACCCACCTCCGCTCCCAAAGTGCTGGGATTACAGGCACAAATCATGGTGCCCGACCTAGAAAGATTAGTTTCAGTTCTTCCTATAGCTTCTCACAGCCTATACCAGTATCTGTCACCTCTGTTTCCATTAAGCAGTGGGACTGCCTAAGCGTCTAGTAATCAACTGCCTATCTTAAATTGTGCTTACAGTATTCCATTTCAATTTAGGATTATCATTACGTGATCTTTCTTATGGCAGGTGATTTGGCTCTTTTCTAAACGTTAGAATGTTATTAAATTTATGTTTAGTACATGGGGTAATTAGGAAAATTACTATCTGGAAAAGTTCTCATTGAAATAGGCCTTAATTTTTTCCCATTTAAAACTTACTCTCAGCCGGGCACGGTGGCTGTAATCCCAGCACTTTGGGAGGCCGAGGCGGGCAGATCACGAGGTCAGAAGATCGAGACCAGCCTGGCTAACACGGTGCAACCCCATCTCTACTAAAAATACAAAATATTAGCCGGGCGTGGTGGCGGGCGCCCGTAGTCCCAGCTGCTCGGGAGGCTGAGGCAGGAGAATGGCGTGAACTCAGGGGGCGGAGCTTGCAGTGAGCCGAGATGCGCCACTGCACTCCAGCCTGGCGACATAGCAAGACTCCATCTCAAAAACAAAACAAAACAAACAAACAAAAACTTATTGTCAAAGCAATACATGTACATGGCTAAAATAATTCAAAACTATAGAAGGCACCCAGTTCTCCCATCCCAATCGCTAAATCAACTGTTTTATCTTTGGTGGTTACCTCCACAACTTAAATAAGATATCATAGGTATAATCTCTTGATTTGTCGACTTTAGACAGTATTTTATTCCTCCATTGTGAAAAATATTAGTTCCCTTGCCCTTTTTAGGTTTCTCTATAACTTTAAATAATATAGTTAGGTCTCTGTTTATTAATCCATTAATTTCAAACATTATCTCTTGACTCTCCCTATGAAAAATGAGGAAATTAGCATTTTTACACTTTCTGAAATCCCTTATCTCCTCATTCTACTTCCTAATTTTTTAAATCAACGATCCTATTTATTACTTTTACATTGTCAAGGTTGATGGGATTCAAGTTATGTTCTTTTAGCCATAAGTGCCTTTTTAAAAGTCTATAGTTTAATTAAGCAAATAAATAGCCAAGGTGGTCCCAAATATTAAAATGAAAAGGGTTTCATTTTCCCTAGAATAATTAAAAAAATAATAAAATGAAAAGGGCGATCTCCCTTCCGTTGGACCCCTTTTTCCTGGGACACCAATTAGAAGTTGGAGTTTTTTCAAGGCAAACATTGTAATTGTTTTTTCACCTATTTCTTCACCCAGTGAAATCAAGGCAGTCATTATAATT